TTCTTTATTGTATTTATACACAACTTAAAGTTCATCCCAAAAGGCTGATTCGATTCATCTGGACATAGCGTTTTCAGTGGGAGGAACATTTCGTCACTCATCCAAGTGACTTCTTCGAAGTACAAATATACCGTTTATATGGTTTGGGAAACCTGCAGTCAGCTGAGACTGAAGTAGTCACTTGGATGAGTGACGAAATGTTCCTCCTGCTGAAAACGCTACGTCCAGATGAATAGAATCAACCTTTTGGGATTTACTTACCTGGATTTTTGAGCACGCATCAAGACAACTTTTAAAGTTTAAACCCAAACAATGTCTAGTTCAACATTTCAATCCTTATTTTCAGTGCTGCCTTGAAATTCTGAGCACTGTAATATGTTCCTGTGGACTTTTATTATACTGTAACCATATTGGTTGTCTATATGACAAGAAATAACCATTTCAAACAATTTGCTCTCAGTGTCTAATATTGCCTTGACCCATGTGGCACAGATGAAAAGAACACGTTATGCATATCTCACATATGCGATCCTATTTGGTGCCTTGGAAATGAGAATGTGTTGGTAAATAGTAAAGGTAAGTTTGCACGGCCAAAAATACAAAACGATACACAGAAGAAAAATAAGGTGAAGGTCATAAAGAACTGGAAAAGTTCCAGATGTGAAAAGTTTGTTATAAAACCAAATACCTTTGTTCTCATTGCTAAGCAGATAATTCTAGCTTCTAAAATAGAGACAAACAGATGTATGAATCACAGACGCTCAGCTGGTGAAGGTTTTTTTTTTAAACTAGAGGAAGCATCTCGGATTTGCCCAGAACTGTTGTTGCTTTGTTAGACCCCCTCTCAAACAGCTTTTCTATCTTTTCACTTCCAGCTGAGTAATGATGAAGAAATGCCATCAAAGTAATCTTTTAAAGGGCACTTCCCTAGACACACAAAGAGGATCTGGAGCCATGATGCTCCCCCAGGGACACATTCAAAAAAAAAAAAAAAAAAAAAAAAAAAAACTTTTAAAGTGAGCAAAACCTCAAAGGTGGAAAACATTTACAAAGCCGCTTACTTTCCTAACTTTGTTCTTTTCATTTTTCCCCTCAAAGTTCCAGCTTTATTAAATTGTCTTACTCTCTGCACTACATTTTGTCTTCTCCCCTCCATTACTTTGAATATAAAAGTTTTTATGTGAAATACTGAAACGCTTCTTTTTAATTGGTAAAATGCAAATAAAGAGAACGTTCTTTTGTTTCGTGCTCGCACAGAGTGAAGTTCCCTCTCGTATTCACAACTTCTTCACTCTTAAAGCAAGACAGTGATCAATCATCCATTTGCCTTTAACACTAGGCTTCTTAAAGTACAGCCACTTGGAGATTCATTTTCTTGATGGTTCGGAGTGTTATTTTCTAAAAGAGGCAGATGTCAGCTAGGGGTTAGAATAAAGGTTTGAGTTTCTTCTGAATGCAGTTTGACATGTCAGTAGAAAGACATTTTGGCAGCTTTTCCATCTGAAGGAAATCTATCGCGCACAGACTGAAGACAGACAAAGAAGGCAGAGCTTTATGATTGTATAGAGAAGATAAACATCAGCGTTGCCTACACTGCTGACTAAATATAGCTATTGCATCACTGAAAGTTAATGTTTATTTTTAAGCAGCAAATATAAAAATATGTTGCAGCCTTAAAATTGGAAGGATCTTTCAACCCTGTATTTCAAGCTATTTGAGAAGTGTAAAATTCTTGTTCTCATTTAAAGTTTCATGTCGTTCATGTCAAGCAGAGTTCAGTCTGTGGCATGAAAGTAATTTAGCACTGGCACCATTATACTTATTGTATTCCAGTATCAGGTAGCAGCTGGGTAATTCCACCTATCTGCTGGAGGCATTTTTAATCAACAGCTATACGGAAAGTGCAACAATGGAATCCTGTTAGCTCTGAAACCCAGATGCAGACCATCCGTTGCTAATAGCCCTATTCAAACAAGAGGAGCATTATGTTCATTATTAATGAATTATGCCTCAGCTTCTATGTTTCATGATTTCATTCGCATAATGAAATTTCCTGAACCTCTGCTGGGCTGTACACAATCATGCACAGTCACAATTTTATAATTGTTAATGTCTGATTAGGTAATGCAGCTCATGTCTTTTGACAATAAGACATATTTGTTCTATATATTGTATTAGTAATCCTCAAACAGTATCTATTTTACTGATCTGACATAAATTTAGTTCCCCCTTTGTTCGGCTGTATTGTATGGACTTCCTAAGACTGAGGCTATTTTGATAAATGTAAACACACAGTTTCATAACAGTGTCTGTGAATGTCTTTTGCGTTATATGTGGAAAATCTAAAGATGGCCACCAAAAGTTCAATAGTGCTCTGTTCACTAAGAGTAACTTTGGGTAAGTTGGTAGGAAAAATACATGAAATCAAGCATATGCTGACAGCTGAATAGATAACCTGACCTGAAGAGCAGACCAGAGTCTGCGCATGCCTACCAAGAAGAGGACAATTGATGCTTTATCAACTCTTCTTCTGCACAAAATGGATTGATCTTGAGCTGCCTAGAATGAGTCAGGGGAGCAAGTGATGCAGATATATGAAAAATATATAATAATAAAAGAACCCAGTACTGTAGCACAGATGTTACCATAGAAATCTAGCACGGTAAAAGCAGAATTGCCCTTATGATGCTGAAACTCTGACTTTAGGTTCAACACACTTTGCCAAGTCATTAATCTGTACGGCCCTCAGGAGTCCTGTCAGGAGCCAAGTTTTAAAAGGATACAGTTGACACAAGATGTCATTAATTAGAAAAATGTCAGCAGAACTTGTTCTAATGTTATCACACTACCAACAGGTGGGTTGCCTTTGTTTGTCTTGCTGTTGTTCCCCCCACCCCTATACAGTTTCATTTAAACTGCCTGATATCACGGCTGAACACGGTCACTGCGGAATCGCTGTAATCGAAAAAACAGGTTGATCGCAATCTCTTGTAGTCAATGCAATGACTTAGGGAGCGCCAGTGAACTCAAAATAGAAGAATTTGGTAAACATACTGCTCTTTATCATACTGCACACCCAATATAGATTTAAATAAATCTTGGTTTCTAATATGTTCATGCCGCAGCTATTGCTCCATTGAAAACAATATGGTTGTTCTATTTCTGGAAAATTAAGATTAATCACGATGTATAATTGCATTCAGGACTCATTCAAAAACAAAAAACTAAACAAAACGAGAAAAAACAAACACACCCGCAGGAATTTATATTGATATTCTATCAAAATTAAAATTAAGCCTCACAATCTACGAGGTACAACATTAGCTTTGACACCAGTGGCAGAAAGAGACAGCCAATCTGATATAAAACTGATGATGCTCTGTTTTTGATTCTTTTAACTACTACTAAATTTTTACGATACCATTTTAAGACAAATATAACTGTTCACATAAACTGTTTACCATTTCATTCATACATTTACAAAATACTGGATTTTTTTTTAAACCACGGTGCTGCTGGTGCCCCATTCAAATGAGAATCTTTAACAATGCTGTTAGCCAGAAGTGGAAAAACATGACCGCGTACGGCACACTAAGCCTTGACATGACAAATATCACAAAAAATAATAATAATAAAAAAATGAATCTGTTTGATGAGATAAAACCAACACTAGAAAGAGTCCAAATCAATTACGGTGAACAAGCGGTGAAATCTGCTTTCTCACGGGTTGTTTTACTCAGTAAACATCACTGTTGAGTGTTGAGGGTGTTGTCTTACTCGACTGAAAAAAAATCTCAACAGTATCACACTCGGAGCCAGACTCTTTGAAATCCAGCTGTGTTGACAATCTTGCGTCAGACTTCAGCTTCAGTGCACCTCAATACTTTCTCATGTAGGAGCACATCAACAGCCAGCCTCACTGAGATGTTACACATTCTTTGTCTGTTCCCTTTTGCTCTTTCCAGCAGCTTGTCTTACACCGGCTGCATTATAAAACAGAGAGTCAACATGAAATCAACTTAAAGCTATGCCACAGAGTATCAAATCAATTCCCTTCCCTCAGGCTGGGGTTGCATATCAACCTCTCGCCACATTTTGCTGTGTGTGTGTGTTTGTGTGTGTGTGTGTGTGTGTAGGTGTGTGTGTGTGTGTGTGTAGGTGTGTGTGTGTGTGTGAGAGTATAATAGAGAAGAATGCACTAAAAAAATCTGTCATGCAGTACAACAGTTAACTTCATAAAAATCTTTGTTTTTCACCCCCACCCCCGCCCTACCACCCCCCATTCTGAAGGAAAACAACCAGCAAGAAGGACAATAAGTAACTGAGTGCCTTCAGCAGCATATTTCAACACATTTATACAAAAGCTCCATTTTAAAAGTTAGAAACTCTGATGCATTTTTCCACAGTTCCTGTGATCAACAGTTGGTATATGCCAAGTCCCACTGAAGCAGGATGTACCATAAAATACCGAGAAGTGGGTTTCAGCCAGCAAGTGTGCTTCTGTTTGGCAAAGCAACACAGTGCAGTTTCCTTTGAGCTCCACCAAGAGTTCACTAACTGAATTCACATGTCTCAATATCTCAATGTTTCTCTTTATGAGTTGCTAAAGGAAGAGCTGCCTGCAGACTGTGGGAACCATGATTGCGTTTGGTTGTCTGTGGTGGGGTTTGGGATTAGTAACTTGCAAGGGGACATTAAACTTTATTGTATGCCATCAAGTAATGCTCCTGAAATGTCTAATGTAGCCCCCACCCCCGATGTGTTAAAGACCATTACATAGTTAGCTTTTGGCTGGTTTACTAAGCTACCATAGCAACAGTGTCACCAAATCCTTCCTGAAGAAAAAAAGATCTAATTGCTACTAAATGTGAATTAAACAATAAATTGGGAAGCGACTCATCCACAAGACTTTGAAAGATGCATTCAGCCAGCATACATTTCATACACCACAAACTCTGAAGCTTATAAAGGCAAAGCGCTTTGTTTTGCTCTCACCTTACCTGTGCAGCTTGAGTTCCAGATGGGCGGTTTACAGATGACTGATACTTCAGCTTGTGGATGGTGTACAGGAGGAAACACGTTTAGCAGCAGCAATAGCAGTCAGAGGAGAGGAAAGGAGAAGAAAAATAAGGGAGGAAGAGGAAGAAAGCGCAAATGCTGAATTATGGATGTGGAGGGGAGGTGGTGAGGAGGGGGGCGAGGGAGGGATTCCTCCGCCGCCTTTACTTCCCAGATCGCAAAGCGTGAATCATCTTCTGCATGGATCAAATGGCACAGTCCACTGAAGGGCTGGATCTGCGCAGTGAACAGAGCAGAGGGTATCTGCTGAGGCTGGAATGGGACGCAATGGGGGAGGCGGGGGAGGTGATGGTGGTGGTGATGTGTGTGTGTGTGTGTGTGTATAACAGGGGTGGGGGGTAGTTATGCTATATGAGAAACAGCCCAGCAGAGGAGTGTTACACGTAGTATGGAGAACCATTCGTCAGCTCAAATATGCAGCAGCTGTTAACTAGCTTCTCTCTCTTTCTTCCTCTCGCCTCACTTCACATTCAGAGTTCAGCTCGCCTCTGTTCACGCAGTTTATACTTCAGGTAATCAACCTGGGATTCTTTATGGCAACTGCCTTTCAAACAATATATGTTCTTTCTTAACCCAGACTTTCTAAATACCTTAGCTTGTTTCAACATAGTTCCAAACAACTTTCTTTAGCATCAGATTATATTCTACAAAAGGATGCGGTCCCTGAGCTTTTCCTCTTTGTTTTCTGTCTACACTATTTGCATCACACTGCAGTTTGTTTCTATTTATTTATTTATTTTGGCTATGAAAGGCAAAATTAAAAGAATATCTGGCTCCTGGGAAGCAAAATATAAAGAAATGAGAGGTATAATTTAAGTCTGTTTTATCTTGCAGCAAATTTACCAGACAGCATCTCCTCAACCCATTAGAATTTAAGAAAGTAACCCTCAAGTCCCTCACAGACTTTCTGTAGACGCATACTATAACATTTTAAATGTATAAATTATATAATGATACATTCTAAACAAGAGCCCTATGGTGATGTGTGTTCCCATGATCTATGAGTGGACAAACAGTAGAACATATACTGTTTTCCAGCAGTATCACGCGTAAATTCAAATTGATATGGTTTCCTTATAAATCTAGAATGTTCGATTTGTTCAGGAAGAGCTAGTTCATTAAACATCTAGCACATATGAACAACATTAACATATTCATTTATATCTGTCTCTCTGGCCACACAGCAAGTTTTGTACCCGCTAACTAATAAGTAAAAAGTCTGTCTGTACCGCAGCTAAATGCTCCACTAAGTTGGTCAGCTAACTTTATTCATTTGAGCTTTTTGAACTGGAAAGTCTATCCCTCATTAAACAACTTCATTTTTGGCTGGGAATGCTGTTAATGAGAATGGTGGAAAGTCCAATGAAGCAGTGTGTTGTACACTCTAAAATGAAAAGCACTGAGCCAAAGTATGTTTAAAATAAAATATATATATTTTTTAAAGAACTGTCAGCTGATAATTCTCTGTGGGTGCACCATTATGAGCCTTAAGGTGCTTTCAAATAACACACACTTCACTGAAACTATGGAGGGCAAAAAGTGGAGTAAAAACTTGATACTCTTTCTGAATGAATTATACAACAAAGTACATCCGAGTTTGTATTGAGAGTGCATCAAGAAAACCCTTTCTTGGAAACAGGTTTCCATCTAAATAGTGGTGTGTGTTTTAACAGTTGAATGGTGTGTAGTACACAGCTTGGAATATGTGTTCCCCCGATAGCTTTATAGATCTATTAAGGCTTTTGGAGTAATGAGGAAAAGAGGTTTAGAAAACAGACTGAAATTTGCTAGTTGTTTTGAAAATTCTTTCTATTTTGGTGGATCCTCTGCTGCTTTCTTGACTAGTGAGCTGAACCAAGCAGCAAGCCCATTTTCCCTTTCATATTACAAAAAATAAAACCCTCAAAAAACACTAAGTACTGCAACCTAAATTGGCTGGATGAAATTTCTTCTACTGCTCATCTTTTTAAACAATGCGAAGAGGATTCTAGCTGCACCACTTTCTCCTGTGATATGTGTTCTCAGCCAGTGAGAAAAAACATTCAGTTGCTCCAAACACTAAGTGAATTTCCATTAAAAGCTCCTCAAACGTCACCTCCTTCAAAGTAGATCCGCAATCTTGAAAACTGTAAGCTGAGTCTCACTGAAAAACTTCTGTTTGAGCTATATTTCACCTTGTTTAGCAGCATCTACTTATACTTCATCAACCTCAGACTTTATGAAAATAAACCAGAGGTAATAATGCATCTCCGCTATACTGCGAGACAAAAGGCAGGGGTCTGCAACTCGAAGCCTCTCTCGTCTACCATTTGAGAGTTAGTTACATCTCATTACATTATCTTACAGCTTTACTGCTTCCATTCTGCACAGTGTGAAAGCTATCATTTACAGTAGAATATAATAAACTGGTTCAAGTGATCATTTCCTGCATTGATTGAATGCTCCGGCAAACTCAGCCCTGTGTTATAGCAGTGCATTTTGAGGCTCTCTGTCTTCCATCCCAGTGCAATATTCAGCTCTGAGAGCATAATATTTTATGGGTGATGGACAAGTGATCACTAGAAAGTGCAGTTCAAGGACACTGCAGCACTGAGCAAGGGTGAGAAAGACTGAAACATTTTGATCTGGCTGCCACTTGAATTCCGTTTGTCTGCTTCTGCATTACAAATGAATATACTTTGGTGTATATCATCCATAATACTGAAATCTCAGATTTAAAAATCTTAAACTTGATTTTAAGGTATTAGGTTTTTATTTTCTTTTTGCTGACTTTTCATACTTAACTGTTGGCCTGTCAAAAAGCTGGCCAGAGGCTTTGTGGAGCAGGCTTTTAGACATAAAAGCCTACTCCAAAAGCTCACGGGGCCACTGAGGACCAAGCTGAGCTGTGTCCTCCATCTCAACCACTGCATGCACAGCCTCAAATGCATGTTGTTCAACCTGCTCCAGTGCAGAGAGCAGACATACACCGTGGAGGTGAGCCAAGAATACCTGACTTCAGGGAAGGTGAGGATCCTGAAAGTTTCTTTGTACGATTTGAACACATAGCTAAAATGTGGGGATGGCCACAAGTTGAATGGGCAGCTAGAGTGGTCAAATGTTGAAAAAGTTTATTGATGATACTGGCAAAGATTGGGATAAATGGTTGCCTTTTCTGTTGTTTGCATACAGAGAAGTACCACAGGCTTCAACTGGTTTCTCTCCTTTTGAGCTGCTCTATGGAAGGCAGGTTAGAGGCCCCCTGGATATGCTGAAAGAGAACTGGGTGGCTGGAGTGGCACCGGGGTCTACTGAAGTGGCTTCGACGATGAACATCATTTCCTACATATTGCAGATGAGAGACAAACTGGAAACATACAGAGAACAGGTTAGAGACCATATGCAGAAGGCGCAGCAAAAGCAAAAGGTATGGTATGACAAGCATGCCTGTGAGAGAGAACTAAAGACTGGTCAAAAAGTTTTAGTACTTTTGCCTACTGGACCAAGTAAGTTGCTGGCTAAGTGGCAAGGACCTTATACTGTGGCCAGAAAAACTGGCCCAGTGACATATGAGGTCATCTGTCCAGACAAACAGAAATCGAAGCAGCTGCTACATGTAAACTTGTTAAAAGAGTATCATGACAGAAATGCCCCAGAACCAGGTGTGAAGCAAATCCTGATGGTACAAGATGTTCAGCCTGAAGAAAGTGGCGTTTTGGAGGTTGGTGAAGCTGAGATGAGTCCATTCAGAGACATGCCCAAATCTGAAGACCCTCCTGAACATCTGACTGAAGATCAGTGGCATCAGTTGAATGAGGTGAGGCAATCTTTTCCATCTTTGTCCTCAGACACACCGGGGCGAACAGATGTCATAACACACAACATCATCTTGAAAGACACAAAACCTGTTCGTCTTACAGGATACCAGAATGGATGGTGGGACCGTTGAGGAAGGAGGTTCAGATGATGCTGGAACTGGGAGTGATTGAGCCATCAAGGAGTGAGTGGTCAAACCCCATTGTACTTGTTCCAAAGAAAGACTCCCCTCAACTACGATTTTGTTCAGACATGAGAAAGCTAAATAGTATTTCCTGTTTTGATTCTTATCCAATGCCACGCATTGATGAGCTACTGGAAAATTTAGGAAAGGCTAGATACATTACAAACTTAGATTTGTGTAAGGTTTACTGGCAAGTGCCTTTAGAGCCATCCTGTAAAAAAATACACAGCCTTCCAAATTCCAGGAATGGGCTTATTTCAGTACACTGTGTTGCCCTTTGGTCTTCATGGGGCACCTGCAACTTTTCAAATGTTGATGGACATTATCTTTAATGGTTGTTCCAAGTTTGCAGCTGCCTACCTGGATGATGTGGTGATTTACAGTGAGTCTTGGGAGGAACACCTGCAGTATCTAAAGGTTGTGATGGCAAAGATCCAGAAGGCTGGTTTGACTGTGAGCAAGTGTGCCTGGGCACAAGAAGAAGTGAAGTATCTAGGATACATTGTTGGCCATGGACAAATAAAGCCACAAGTTGAAAAAGTAAAGGAGAAAAAGAAGGACTGGCAATTAAGTGGGCAATTGATTCGTTGAAATATTATCTCCTTGGAAGAGAATTTATTCTTCAGACAGATCACAGACCCCTGGTGTTGATGCACTCCAAGCAACATCAAAATGTGAGGATACTGCGCTGGTGCCTAGCCCTCCAGCCATACCAGTTCACCATCCAGCATTGTCCGGGTAATAAGAATCTTATTGCTGACTATCTTTCCCGTTTGCCAGATATGTGTCGACCAGAAAGGAGGGGGGTAGTGAGTAATGTTGGGGAGCACTAATGTAACAAAGACTGTGTCCCAGTTAAGAGACGGCATCCTTGAAGTACGCGCACGGTGCGTACTATAAGTACGAGAAGTGAGGAGGTGAGAGGCTTGTGAAATGGGACGGTCTAGCCTTCGTCTCGCTGTTCAGGTTGCCTAGCAACTGTTAGGTTTTGTATTGTTGATTGTCATTTATGCTTAGAAATATCTACTTATATATGCTTAGTTTTATAATTAGTTGTAGATTGGTAGAGGTTTGATCCAAACTTTGTGTGCATTCCAGAGCACTCTGGGAGCATGGGAGAGGTCATACCTTGTCTTATTGTTTTATGGTAGGATAAACATAGCTATATCTGGTTTTAGGCTAAGTGCCTTTTGTTTAGATGAACTGCTGGACTTCCAGACCAGCAGGTTTAGGGAAGTCATTTATGGGGTCA